CAAGTGCTAGATGAACATTCTACCAATGAGTCACAACCCCAGCCCCAAGAATTTAATCTTTGAAAGCACATTTTGGGATAGATTGATTTTAACATTCTAATATTTTATGAATCATTATTTTCTTCTGAATTATTATTTTCTAAGTATTCCCCCCCAAGTGGTACTTTCCAATATTTTTCAGGTAATCTAAAGACTCTACAATCAATAGAACTCTCAAAGGGATGTCTGGCTTTCAGAGCTTGATTCAAGCTGAGTAAACTAACTCTCCCCTTTTCCTGGATAGGATATAAGAAAGTTAAAATAAATACATGTAAAAAAGTAAAAGATAAATTAACAGGATTATTATTATTATTATTATTATTATTATTATTATTATTTGCTAGTGCCTTCATCTCATCCACAACTCTTTTCTGAGCATTATCCATCTGGAATCTTGAGAAGGTAGATCTGTTTCATTTGCTTACTCTCCACTTCAGAATTCATCGCCACCTAGTGTTCCACAGAAGCATTGCATTTATTTTATTTTTAATTTTATTTTTTTCAATTACATTAACATTGCCCAAAAGGCAAAGAGGTAGGGGCTGGGGTTGTGGCTCAGAGGTAGAGTGCTCACCTAGCACAAAGCACTGGGTTTCATCCTCAGCACCACATAAAAATAAGTAAATAAAATAAAGGTGTTGTGTCCAACTACAACTAAAAAAAGTAGTAAAAAAAAAGGGAAGAAGTCACAATTATTTTTAGACTAATTACATGTACATTACCTATGAAACACAGTAACAAGATATGCATTTGATTAACTGATAATTTTTGTGGAAAATGTTTGGTGGTATATAAATGTCAAAAAATAAAGAAATTATAAGTGGCAACATTATAGTGGAAAATGTTTCTGTTTAGGATTTTGATAGCTAGATTTAATTCCAAATCTATGGTGAAAAATCTTACATGATAACATATGCCAATAACCACTGGATGATATATTCTGGGAAGGTTTGCACACGAAAATATCAAAATTAAAGGCAGATAACTAGTTAATTCCCTTAGTGAGTATCATTCAAGCTCTACACAAATTCAAAAATAGTTGATATAATAAAAAATTCTAAAGTATAATTAATTTAATGTTAGAAACAAAGTTAAACATAATAAGATAGGGTGACTCTGTAAGTAGCAAGATTTTCCTAAAACATACTAATACTAATATAAATATATATATTTATATTAGTATTAGTAATATATATATGACATCCTTCAAAACACTCTTCCTGCCTGTAAAATAGGTGTCCTGTATGGTCTCTGAGAGTGTTAATTTCCTAGTAATTCATGAATATGCCAAAAAATTCATTCAAAACTTTTTCAAAATCTTTGCGATGTTTCCTGTTTTTTATTTAGCTTTGTTTATATATGTGTGTCTTAAGAAGTGCAGATTACAAAAAATATTTTGCATGACATTAAGTTTGCAATGACTTCCAGCAATTTCCAACAATCCACCCTCAAAAAATAAAAATTTGCCATTTTTGAAGATATTAAAAAATACTGTGTAGAAAGAAAATCCATCCAAAGATAAGCAAGCTCAGATAGGTAGGTCCATGTGGGAATAAGTGGACGGCTCACCCAAGTGGTCTCTTGGAAAGAAACAGTGTTTGATGGAATCTAAGTTACTATATGTTTGCTACCATCCATTATGTGTCTACCCCCAAGTCTCAGGGGGTAGACACATAATGGATGGTACAAGAACATAATATTTGAGCCTATGAAATCCTTAAATAATGCACATTCTGAACTTATGTAAAAGCCATTCACATGTTGACACAGCAAACTGATGCTGGACTGGGAATAATCCCATCGGATGCCTAGTATGTACAGTCTCTGTACTAGGCACCAACATTTGAGATGTGTTCCCAGGTCACTGTGCATGTAGCTGGGGAATAAGAGGCAGCAAAGTATATATTATGTATAGTTATGATTCCAAGTGGGGAACAAAAACTTGAGGAATAGCACCTGTGCCCTCTGGGCCTTATTCTTGGCGAGGAGACAGACACTAGAGAGCAGAGGTGAAAGGAAATGCATATGTCAGATGGTGAGAAATGCTTCTGATAAAGAAGAGATCTAGAAAACTGGGCAGACATGTCAAGACTGGAAGGTAAGGAACTGCCGTAGCAAAAAGACCTCTGAGGGAGCAGAGGTTGAAAACTACAGAAGCCCTGGGGACAGAGTTCTGGGAAAAGGAACAGCAACTGCAAGGACTTGGGGCAGGTGCTGTCTTGGTGTGCTGGAGGGAAGCGGGAGGGGAAGGGAGAAGACAGAGCTCCCTTCTGCAGGATGTGAGTCAGGAAGTCACAGTTAGAGATGGTAGAACAGGAGAATCAGGACATCCAAATGGGAGGGGCTTCCTGCAGAATGTAACAAGAATGGTGACCTTATGGTGGCTTTACAGGAACAATGAAATAAAAGCCTGTCTG